CCATAAGAAAGTGTTGTGAAATTTGGTGATTCCTTAGATATCCACCAAATCTTAAAATACCACTTCAGTCTCATAATTATCTCTTTTACCTCACATTTTCATTGTTGAAGAGACTTTGTGTTTGGTTCTGGTAAGGAATTATGTATATTTAGTTCTCAGCTTGAATTTGTAAACTGTACAGCTTTTAAAAAGACTAAATTGAATATTGAGATATAGGGTCTTTGGTGGGTGACACTTAAGCCTAAAAATAAACCAATAAAAAATTTAAAAATTGTAAAAAACAAAATTATACACGTAATAAATCATGACCCATCTAACAAATTTATAACAAAACATCTCAGCAAAATTAGAAGTCTAATTTGCAACTAAAACATGAAGTAGATCATCAAAGTGGCAAGCTAAAATTAGCAACGAAGTAGTCACGTGACTCACGTAGAAGATCAGTATTTCATGAGGAGAACTAAAGGTCCAACAAAATAAACAACTTACAAAACTATTGAAGAATTTTGCCTGCTTTGTCATTAAAAGAGGGTTGGGTGGGGTGGGGTGGGGTGGGGTGGGGTGGACAAACAAAAGAAAAGGTGAAGTTAAATGTTGCAGGTCTCTTGTCACTAGTCATTTGGCGCCAAAAGATTCCAATTTCACTTGGGGAGTTTGAACTTCAGTTCTATGAGTAGAGGACCAGGGCACACACGGATGACTTGCTTGCAATTCTATTTTCAATTCCTTTATTTTTAGTTTTTAGGTTGAATCGTAATTAGAAAAGCTCAAAATCCCTAAAAGGCTTTGGCCTGTGAATAACCAGGGAAAAAGCCGAGCTTGGTGAAACAAACAGCATAGAAATGGCAACACTACGAGCACAGGCACCAATGGCCTTGAGGCTTATGCCCTAAAGGGGTGGTCACAATAACTGAAGTTGTGAGCCTTGAGAAACTTCTGACGAATGTGTTGCACGGGGCATGCCTCATGATAAGTTGGGCACGCTTTTGAAAATACCTAGTCTATAAATATGAATTTGTGAGGGGCTTACATGATTGGGAGCTGGATAATTGCGCATTGTCTTTGGCTTCTCTGTATGAGGTGCACATTCAGGTAGGAGAAGATGACTGTAGCAGGTGGAGAGTGGCACTGAATGATTTGTTCTCTGTTCGTACTTATTTC